CAAATATTGGTGGACCAGACAGCACAATTTATACTAAGCAGGTTTTACTCAATACCAGAATGCAAACTAGAAAAAAAACGGGCAAATGACAATTTCGTAGGTGGTAAAACAGAACTATGAATAAATCTGAATTGGATAATGACATCATCGAAAGCGATGGTCGAACTGTCGTGTGTGTGTGTGTGTGCCCTCAAATTGGGCCACGTGTTATATGCGCTGGACCAACACTGGGGCGACATCGGACTCTGGCAGTCGCTATCTGCGCTCAATAACAAATGCCATCATTTGCGGTGGCGCTGGCAGACCCGGTTGTCAGCATTCCTCGCTCAACTGGCCCACTGCCGTCTCCCCATTGTTTTTTGGTCAAAAGCCTTGTCTTTTGTGTGTGTACCAGAGGGTGCGGAGTGGAGCGCCAAGGCGAGGATCCGTCCGAGCCATCCACCTGCGCCCTCCCTCGTCTCCGATCTTCTTGCCTCTGTCTTGACACCGGGCTCAGGCGGGGGAGGAGGAGAGAGTGTAGGTGGATGCTACGCAAGTCTACCGGCACTACAAACCCCTGCGTAAGTCACCGTCACTGCTCCCACAATGCAGTCTGTGGGGCACACGGTGGACATCATCGAAATCGATGGTCGAACTGTCGTGTGTGTGTGTGTGTTGGGCTGCTGTTGTTGCCAGTCCCAGCGTGTGCATGTGTTGGCGCTCATGTTAGCGCCTATGCGTGTACTACTGAGGGTGTGAACACCGCATCTGGGTTCCTATCAGCTCGAGACTGGTTTTCAATTTCGCCACTTATTTGTCCTATTAAAGGCCACATACAGGCCAGTCCTGACCGACCCGCCTACTTACCCCTTTATGAAATGCCTTATACAATGCCATATACAGCTGAAATTTATTTCAGCCCTGTTGATGTCCGACTATAGTCCATTCTATACCGCTTCTTGCAGGCCAGTCCTGCCCGCATTTTTCTGATTCTATTTTTTCAAGGGTTTTTTTTCCTGTAAAATTAATCCAATCATTTTTAACTTTTCAAATGGAATTTTTTCATCCCTCTTTTATCATTTTGCTTAACGGATTTCTAATCTCAAAAACTATGTATCGCACTTTGTACAGATTTTGCCTACCTCGTCTACAATTCGCATGTCAATTTATTTTTACTTGCTTTGATAGATCCCCGACGGGTCTTTAATAAAAATAATTGAATTGAATTGAATTGAGTTTCAAGCTACAAAACTCCGTTACTAAACAAAAACTTGCGCTATTGCTCCGTGCTGAACCTGCGCGTAGATTTGAGGGAAGGTGACGCAAAGTTGGCGTGATAGTCTGAGTGAAACAATCACTGAGGACAAAGCAACAGCCCAGGCCATTCATAATGCGAAAGATGAGTATGAGGTTACTTCGTAGTTGCCTGTAGTAAAGGGAAAAGATGCTGAGGGTTGACATTTTGTTTTTGAAGGGCAGTGCTCTCAGACCTTTGGTCGTTTGTGTCTCCCGTCACCGGACCTTCTCTAAGACGATGCAATCCTTGACAGTCCAAGGTCCCCATGCCTGTATGGTGTTGTATAGTCGAAGCCGCACGAATGTTCCATATATTTTGGAAGTGCTGCCTATGTCCAACCCCATGAAGGCTCGCCTGATTATTTGATTTGAGTTAAGATACAAGTCGCACCCAAGTTTTTCTGAGTGTCATTTAGAAAGAACCTTCTGAGACTGAGGGCTCTGTGATAGTTGCTTTAAAGAAAATCGCACCTATGTAAATGGAAGTGCATAACCAGCGCTTCGATCAGTCCTTGAGCATCTTCAGGTTCACTTGAAAGTGATCTTCGTTGGCCGCATTGCGAACAATTTTCCAACACTTTAGGTCGTCAGTAAACCGAATGACATCACAGTCCACGCCCCTGACGCAGTCATTGAGGGAAACGACACATGACGTAGGGCCTGAAGTTGAAGTCTGCGAAACGTCATTCACAACGGTTGACTCCGAGGACTACCGATATCCGACCTACACTCTTTGAGGCGGTTTATTCAAAGTGTCCCGGATCCATTGAAGAAGGCCTCCACAGGCTTCTACGATGCGCAGTCTTTGCAAGAAATTTCGACGAAGTAGGCTGTCGACGGCATTTTTGATGTTCCTGTAGATGGCGTGCGCCATACTGCCTTTTGTTCCACTGTCCTACCGTAAGACCTTGACCATCCATATTTACTTCGCATTCGTGCCGGGTGTAAGTTAGTTGCCGCAGGATTTATCTGGTCAAACACAAATTCTCAAGAAGAAGAAGAATCGAGCACCGGTACAATTCGTTTATTATCCTGAGCTTTCAGACTCGTACAGGAGTCCATCGTCAGAGGTAGTGGCAGAAACAGGACAAGCGGCAGTTATAAGGCACGTAGGCCCAATCATCGACCGACGTCGCACGACTGGAGGTAACTACGAAGGGCTCTGTACACCGGCGCCAGATCGATAAATCGATTGACCGAGTTCTCATCCGAGGCCCAGGCTTCAATCAATTCTCGGCCTGCTTTGTTTCCGGCGTGGGCAACTATTTTGGTGGCTGCGAAGTCAAACTCGTGACCCTTTTCGTAGGTGTGGGCGGCCACTTGTGACAATGCGTCGCCTCGCCTCACAGCCAGCTTATAAATAAATTTTTTATTTAACGCCAGTTTACAGGCATTGTCAAGGGGAGCGATTAAACATAAATCCGACCGGCAGTGAAAAAAAACTCCTGAGCTTAAGGGACAAAAATATAGTTGATGGTGGTTTTTGTGGTTTGGAGGGCTCAGGAGAAAACAACTGCCGGCGGTGGGAGAATATCGACCGTCAAGAAGGGGGGAGGTTGCACGGTATCGGAGATCATCGGACGTCAAATTCCTTTCACGAGGTTGGGGATAGTCAAAGTAGAGGCGTTGAGGAACAGCTGGTGAGACCGGCCATAGTGTTCAGAGACCACAAACGCCATCGCTACGGTACAGTCGATCAGTGGATTCAGCACCCAAAATTTGTGGGAGCTTTTCTGAATGCAAAAATCGGGTAATAGTTCTCTTAAATAAAGGATAATTTTGCAGAGTTTTCGCACTCATGGGTAGTTTATTCCAAAGAGTAATTGCATTTACAGAAAAGAATCGACGATATTTAACAGTACGTGCCAGAGGCAGAAATAAGAAGACCTCACGGTGACTGTTACGTCGTGGGTGGATATGATGTCTTAAGGAGGTGAGTGGGTTAAATGTGTGATTATATAAGAGTTTAAATAGCAAAAATAGTCCCTTTTGTAATCTACGGAACCATAAAGGATCGAGGCCTGTAAGCCGGCAACGTTCTTGGTAAGACAGATGTCGGTGTTCTGGGGTTAAAATTCTCTTGGTAAAAAAGTGTTGAACGGATTCTATTTTCTTCCGCTCAGTAGCACGCATAAGGCTAAATGAAAACGAACAGTATTCCAGGCCAGGTCTAACGTACATGTTGAAAAGGCGCATTCTGATGTCCCTAGTTTTAAAATTTCGGAGGATAAACCCGGTCGTTCTGCGTGCTTTGGAGACTATCAAGGCACAGTGCTCCGAGAGATTAAGACTCTTGGAGTATGATACGCCCAAATCCCTTATAACCCCTGGCACATTTATTGCGTGACCTTCAATACTTAGTTGAGGTTGACGGTCGTCGCCAACCACCATGACTGAGCACTTATGCCAGGTAAGAGAGAGGCGCCATGTGCGGCACCACTGGGCGAAAGCCTGTAGATCGCTCTTAAGGAGCTCAAGCACGATGTCATGTTCTGGG